GCAGAGGCTGCCTTGTGAGATAATAATAAAATAGCTAACACTTACTGAGCATTTGCACAGCTTCAGGCACTGTGAGAAGCACTTTCCCTATATTGCTTCCCTGGCTTTTCACAACACTCTAACAAGGGGACTTTCTTCATTGTCCTTTTAACAAAAAGGAACAAGGAAACTTGGAGAGGTTAAGTAGACACCTCTGAGGTGACACAACCAGGAGACGGTGGATTAATGTGACCCCAACATACACATTCTTCACCACTAAGTCTCCTTACTACCTAAAAGCAGTGAGCTCTCCATCCTGACCAGCATTCAACGGAGACGTGAACACTGCCTGGCCACAACCCTAGGAGGAAGTTCCCATCTTGGGTTGAAGAGGCTTGCTCGTGCTTAACACACGATAGTACTCTAAGAAGACAGCGCTGTGCATGGGAAAATGCCAACAAATGGAACGAGGCACGCAGGATTCAGTTCGCATTTACTTGGGTGCACTTTTGGATGAGGCTAGTGTCAGTAAAATGTCAGGTGAGAGCCAATGAGAAACACTATCACAGCACTGCGAGCCTCTTTCAAGGAGCCCTATAAAGCACTTACACGCCACCCGTACAATGCTTCCTCTTCACCACACCCCATGGTGAACATCTCTTTTTTTTTTTTTTTGAGAGATTTTCATTGTAGGGCGCGTGCGCTCGCCAGACAGACAGAGAGAGACATAGAGACAGAAAGCGAGACATCACCCCCCAGGGGGGATGGTCACGCCACAATCCCTTCTCCTCCATTCTCCTCTCGGGATCTTGGGCACGCACGCACACACGCCCGGCGTGAGTTTTAAGCCACCGGGTCCGGGACTCGAATCGCGGTCGACTACGTGGGAGTCCAGCGACATAGCCATTACGCTAACTGCTGGTTCCCTGAACATCTCATTTTAATGATCAACCCCATGGTGAACATCTCATTTTAATGATCAACAATAGCAAGAATGTATCCCTCCAGCAGGTGGGAGTGGGAAGGGACAGGGAAAAGCTTCTCCAGAGACAGAAGGGGAGAATGGCACACTAGGTGAAGTTGTTGGTGGTCATAATGGAGAAGGATCAATAGGAGGAAGGAGAAAGAGGAGATAAAAAAAGAAGTTGCTCTGCCCAACCTCATTGAAGGTCCAGCCAGACCCCTTCAACTGCTTTAAGTACTTCATAATATTTCCAAACCACACAAACTCCACAAGGCAAGGGATCCACTGAGGGCCCTGATTCCTCCATTATGGAAGAGCCAGGGGTGAACATTTATCATGTGAACAAAAGAAGAGCCAACAAGTAAACTAGGTGTACAGCTGTCGGAAGTGCAGGAGAGAAACCAAGGGGCTGGCATGCATTTTCATACTTGTCTGACTTGCTGGCTGTAACAGAGCAAGACAGGTGGGACTTAAACAGAGAAGGAGTGGAAAAGTCATACTCAATGTGAAGAAGCTGGGGAGAATGATTTGCAATCTGGAGCGGGTTCTCCTAGGGGCCTGGTTTACACAGGAGACTCTGAAACTTAGCATGAAGTTTTAAACAATCTCACGCCTTAAATCCACTACAAGGTCAGCCCTGGTAAAAAGAGGAAAAGTCCCAGGTCCTGGGTAAGGCAGTGGGCTTTAGAAAAAGTCACCCTGGCTGAGCAGCCCAGAGGTATTGCTAGCGCATGCTCCAGGGAGGACAGAAGGGCTGGAAGGGCTGGGACTGACGATAGACTGCGCTCAGACCAGAGGCTGATGCTGTCATCAGTGAATTCTCACTGTGGGGTGGGCAAGAAGAGGTGCAGATCCTTCTGTGGACACCTGCCAGGGAGGTCCAGCACTGCCATTAAAGGCCAGAGGTGAAACTAGAGTAGGGTTAGGAGTCATGGTAATTACAGGAGAGGGAGGATGGAAACAGGAAGAAGCAGAGGTCCTGAAAAAGAGCTGGAAAGGAGAAGGGCACAGATTAGAGAGCAACATACACACAAAGAAAGCCAGAGGAAGGCAGAGGAAAACACAGGCAGTGAGACAAACCAATACTGAGACAGAGACAGGAACTTCTGTAGAGGCTGGAGAGGGAAAGGATGGGAGAAGGAACAATAGAAAGAGGCGAGCACACAGGAGGAGAAGAGAGCGAGGAAAGCTGCAGAGAGAGCAAACGAGAACCCTGGGGTCTGGTGAGGTGGGGGCTGCAGATGAGAGGACAGAGGCTTCTCTAGCAGCAGCCCATCATCCCGTCACTCTGGTAGTAATTCTGCTGACACGAGACTTCTCTCTGGTTGTGTCTGAGGGAAGTGGGAGGTAGCAGAGGTCAGTTTATCACTGGGACCTCTTTAGACCAGGGCTGCATGTTTATCTCCAGGGAATGAGTCTGTCTGGGTGAACAGAGGCGATGTGGCCACTGGACTGGGCTTTGCTGTACTGCACATAGCCACTCTTCCCTGGATCAGCTGGCCAACCACAAACATCACCACCATAAGGGAACTAAGAACTTCCCTGGGAATGCAGGGGGGAGATGACTCAGCCTTGCCAGTGGGTTGGCCCCACAGACTGACTGATGGCCCCTGACCCTACTCAAGCAGGGAGGAAGGACAGAAGGAAGGTTCCTTGGGCCTAAAGTGCATACATCTGGAAAACCATTCAGCAGGCATTTATAGAACATGAGTTCTATGCTGGGCTCTGTCCTAGGTGCTTAGAATATCGGCACTCAGAACTGAGGCTCTGCTCCTGTGGAGTGCACATTCTAGCGAGGGAAGGTTCACCGAGTGAATAAGCCATGCCAGGTGCTAGAAGGAAAATGAGGTATTGAGGGAAAAATATCAGAGGAAGAGGGAGTGGGAGGCCTGGGGAGGTCAGAGTAGGCTTCTTTCAGGAGATGGCCTTGAAGATATCTAGGAGTGCTGGTGAACATTTCAGGCAATGGGAACAGTTGAGGAGAAAGTCCCAAAGTAGGACAAGTAGAAACATTCTTGGGGTGTTGAAGGGCAGCAGATGGATTGGCTGGCCTGGGTCCAGCAGCCATAGCTCAACACTACAATGCTGAAGGCCATATGGAAGACCAGATTTGGTTCCCAGGTGAGTGTACATGATCCTGGCTAGCTGGAGGCCATATGGAAGACCAGATTTAATTCCAGGTGAGTGTCCATGATCTTGGCTAGCTGGAGGCCATATGGAAGACCAGATTTGGTTCCCAGGTGAGTGCCTATGATCCTGGCTAGCTGGAAGTCATATGGAAGACCATATTTGGTTCCAGGTGAGTGTCCATGATCTGGGCTAGCTGGAGAATCACAAGATAAAACCCCCTTGAGAGTGTTTGTCTCTCTATTTCTCTCTAAACAAACAAACAAACAAACAAACAAACAAACAACAACCACCATAAGAATGTCCAGTATGGAAAGATCAAAAGGAGAGATATAGGTGGTGAATTCACAGAAGCTATAAGAACAAGATTGTGGAAGACCATAAAGGATACTGTAAAGACTTTGGTTTGGTCTCTGGATGGCAGCCATCCTAGGTTTTGAGAGGAAGAAAACATATTCTGACTTCAGTCTGAAAAGGGTTATCATGTTGGATGCTGTGATGAGTGGATAAGGATCAGAGATGCAAGTGGGAGGGCAATTAGGAGGGCATTACAATAATCCAAAGATGATGGTGGCTTGCATCAGCATGGTGGGGTGAAGATGGGAGACAGGGTCAGGTTCTGTATGTGCTCTGAAGGAAGAGCCAATAAGATTTCTTGAGATGTTAGATGGGAATGGGAGATGAACAGAGAAGCCAGGGCTGCCTCTAAGGCTTTCTCTTGAGCACCGGAAAGGATAAAGCTTTCCATCAAGAAGATGTATGGGTGGAGCTGGTCTGGACCAGGCATGGTAGGGGGAAGAAATCACAAATTCTGTTTTAAACCCAACAAGTTTGAGATGTTTATTAGAGATGTTTGCAACTCTTAGGTGGAGAGTCAAAGAACTCCAGTGGCTAGATAAGTGTAGAGCTTGGGGAAAAGGTCTTCAATGGAATTATAAATACAGGGGTCTTCATGGGCAGAGTACTGAAGACCAGAAGATAAGAAGAGATGACTGGGAAGTGAATAGATGGAGAGACCCAGTCCTGGGCTTTTCCACATCTGTAGGTGGGGGAAAAGAGAAGCCAGCAAGAAACCAAAATGGAGTGAATAGTGAGGTAGGAGGACTAGGACAGCATGATGTCTTGAAGCTTGGAGAAGACAGTTTGTCAAGGAGGAGAGATCTGGGTTATTTGAAGCTCATCAGATGAGGGGTGATAAGTGACCCTGGGATTTAGCAACACAAAGATCATGGTGAGGTCAACAAGAAGAATTTCAGGAAAGGGAGACAAGTGGAACCCCAAGTGTGGTGGGCTGTGGGGAGCATGGTACTGACAGGTTGTACAACAGAGTGACTGAGAGCCCAGGTCTGGGCACCAGCTGGCCAGGGTTCCAATCCCAGCTGGGCCACTTACTAGCTGTGTGACTTCAGGCAAGTTATTTAACCTTCCTGTGCTCCATTTCCTAATCTGAGGCCATCTAATTCAAAGAATTGTTATAAGGATTAAATCACTTAGTGTTTATCGGGAACATGGACAATATAATAATGTTTATCAAGTTAAAAAGGAAAAAAGAGAATGAAAATGATGAATCAGACCGTTCTTTTGAGGAGGTTTTGCTGCTAAAAGAGACAAATAAATGGTGAGGGTTTGTTGGCAAGGAAGTGGAGTAAAAGTGGAGGTATTTTAGGAAGGAAGAAATAACAGGATATCTGATACAGGTGGGAATGGTCCATTAGAGAGGAGCAGTCAGTGATGCAGAGGGAGAGAGACTTGTTGGAGTGATGTCTTGCAAGAGTAGTACCTCAGGAAAAAGAAAAGCTCATGGAAATACGTGTAATGGGAAAACTATGTATGAACTTTGAAAAGTTTTTGTACCAAAATAAATTCATACTTTAATTGTTAAAAAAAAAAAAAAACAAATAGTACCTCAGCTTTTTTTCAGGTGACGGGGAAGATGGCGGACATTCAGACTGAACGTGCTTACCAAAAGCAGCCTACCATCTTCCAAAACAAGAAGTGGGTCCTGCTGGGAGAAACTGGCAAGAAGATGCTTCCAAGATACTACAAGAACATCGGTCTGGGCTTCAGGACTCCCAAAGAGGCCATCGACGGTACTTACATTGACAAGAAATGCCCCTTTACTGGTAACGTGTCCATTTGGGGACCGATCCTGTCTGGTGCAGTGACCAAGATGAAGATGCAGAGAACCATTGTCATCTGCCGGGACTACCTCCACTACATCCACAAGAACAATCGCTTCAAGATGTGCCACAAGAATATGTCTGTGCACCTGTCTCTCTGCTTCAGGGAAGTCCAGATTGGCAACATCATCATGGTGGGCAAGTGCCAGCTCCTGAGCAAGACCATGTGCCTCAATGTGCTCAAAGTCACCAAGGCTGCTGGTAACAAGAAGCAGTTCCAGAAGTTCTTAGCCTGGACGTCTGCCTGCTCCCCAGTAAAATAAAGTCATCCCCCCTGCCACCGCACCAAACAAACAAACAAACAAACAAACAGAATAGTACTTCAAATCCAAATGTTCAAGCTCCATGGGGCTTCCCTCACCTCCCTCAGGGCACCCCCTCTAACCCCTTCTCAGGGAGACCAGCCCTGACTAACCTTTAAATATCACACATACACTCCTAGCTCCCTCCTCTGCTTCATTGTTCTCCATCTCCTTGGTCACCATCTAACTTATTACTCTACTTTTTATCTTGTCTGTCACCTGACTAGTATATAAGCTCCCTAAATGCAGGAATTTTTGTCTGCCTTGTTGACAGTAGTGTCCCCAGAGCCTAGAACAGTGCCTAGTACACAGTAAGTGCTCAATGAATGTGTGATGAAGAAACAAGTGAATTGGAATCTGCACTTAGGGAGTACTCTGGCCATCAGGGAAGATAAACTCTCTTCTTCATTTATTTGACACATAATTTCCAAGCATCTACTATGTTCCAGGAGCTGTATTAGGTTCTGGGGAATTGGAGATAAATCGGCTGCCATCTCTCTCCTCATTTACCCAACGTGTGTGTGTGTGCGCGTGCGCATGTACGTGTGTCGGGAGAGGATACAATAAAAGGTAATTCCATAGTTGTGTAAGAGGATAACTAGGAGAGGAAAGTCCAGGGTCTTGCAGGTTTGAGCATGGGGGTTAAGAAAAAGTGTCCTAGACAAGGGGCATGTGGGACCCATAAGCTACAGTTGGCAAAGTGAGATGAAGGGGGATGCTGGGATGGCGTATGGCGTTTCAGGTGGAGCATGTGCTCAGGTGGAGAAGCAACACAGGCATAGCCCGGTGGTGAGAGTCAGTGCCAAAGCTCGCCACAGTTCTCCCGCCCTCCATGAAGCCTGCCTGGCCACTGCAGTCTCCCGACTCTGCTCAGACTCTGACAGCACGTGGTGTACCATTTACTGGGGCCTGCTCTGGACTGTGAGCCCCCTAGTCAATGTGTGAGTCTTCAGTTCCGCTTTTTAAGTTTTTCTTTCCTGTCTCTCTCTCTCCCTTTTCTCCCTCTGATCAAATAAAAAATAAAGTAAAAAATGGATGAATAAATAAAATTAAATAAATGATTCTTTTTTAAAAAATGTTGTGTTGGGCCTGCTGTTGTCTCAGTGGCTAAGGCAGCAAGATTCCACATGCCAGCTGCGTGGTTCCTGTCCCAGATCTGACAGCCTAAAAAAACAAGCTGGGTAGATAGGTGTGCATGCCCAATGTCCTGAAAGGGAAAAAAAAAATGCAGGAGAAGGGGTTGTGACATGGCGAACCCCTAAAGGGGGTACTTTCTCACTCTCTCTTCTCTCTCTTTCTGGCAGGCACACACTCCCTCTGGGGTGGGGTGGGGTGGGAAGAATGTTGTAAGAATGGCAGAGAAGTGTAGGGTCCTTTTAACACGGTATGAGGCAGGAAAATGAGAGAAAGAGGATGATCCAAGATTTGGGAGGTATCATCTAGAAGAGACGCCACCTGAAGTCTCAACCTGTGTTTTTCTCTTTCTCTCTCTCTTTCTTTACTTCCTTCCTCCTTTCTCTTCCTCTCTTTCTTCTCTGTTTTGTGGAAGGTCAATCTCAACAAGGGCTTCATGCTGTGATTCTCCCCCAAGCCAGCTAGTTCCATGAGCTCTATGCACCCTGCGTGTACAGGGAAATGCTGACGTGAACCAGAAACCCTCCCGCATCATGATGTGTTGTGTTACTGCTGTGCTACCACGGCTGGCCCAATGTGAGTCTTGAGTCCTCAGGCAGGTGGTTTGTCTTCCAAGGCGAGACTATGGTGCCTATAGCAGCAATTCATAAATAATAAGAGCCTAAGAGCATTTTCTTACAAAGTAATTCTTGGGTGCATACCATGTGCACAGCTGCGGGCATGAGGAAGCAGCTGCAAACAGGACAGACCAGGTCCCGCTTCTTAGAACTACATTCTTGGTGGGAAGATTGTAAAGTATATAAATAAGCCCAGCAGTGAAAAATAACACAGTGCCCTGCAGAGCCAAACAGTGGTAAGTGAGAGGGACTGGGTAGATGGGCAGCCACTCAGACTGCATCTCTTGACACCTAGCTGAGGCTGAATGATAATGATCTGCTAACCCAAGTAGTGAACAAAAGAGGCACAGGCAGGCGTTCTGAAAATTGTATTCTAGGGAGCTCGAAGGCTGAGAGGACATAGCAAAATATCCTCTAAAACCAAAGGAGACTTCCTCCAGGAAGTGAGTTTTGCTCATCTTTAACCTGAAAACGTGATCAGACAACTCAGCTTTTAGCTGAAGCGGTGACCCCGAAGGACGACTCCGTGTCACCAGGTACCCGCTGAGCAGCTGCTCTGGGCTGAGCCAGTTGAAGACAGGAAGGAGGAGAGTCTCTGGCCTCTGGGTGCTTGCCGTCCTGAGCTGAAGTAGGCGGGCAGGGACAAAATCACAGTAAACAGCTGGCAGTGTGAGGAGGGCCACAGCAGCCAGGCAAGCTGAGGGTAGCTCGGAACTCTGTCTGGGCGGAGGGCTGCGTGAGGGGATGCGAGGCCTGAGATACTTGGCCGAGAAGGTGCTGTTCGAGGGGGCACTTGATGGATGACCAAGAGTTTGCCGAGGTCTTGGGGGCAGAATCCCCTCAGGAGGTGTTCAGGGAGAGGGGGAACATGAAGAAAGAAGGAACGACAGCCTAAGCAGGAAGCAGGCTGTGGAGGTGAGGCTGGAGAAATGAGGGCTGTGAGAGTGCGTGTTGGGGGAGTGTGGGTAGTCTTAATAAAAACGGCTCAAGTCCCTGGGGAGTTTGCCTGTAAATGAAGTCCTTCCTGTGGTACAGGCAAGCCTGGAAAACCCAACACACACTCTCATGCCACTGTGCTGTGTCTTGCCCTGTGTTAGACTCTTGGGGTGGGGAGGGCATCCCTGGCAAAGCCAACTACCCATCACCCCACAGAGGGGAACAACTCAGCGTCCAAGGGACAAGGCCCTGGTGAGGAAGCCTGGGTGGCAGCCAGCGTTGGAGCTGCAGGAGAGAGCAATCTCTGGTTGCTGGGCCAGTGGTGTTGCCATCGACTTGGGGGTCAGGTCGCACTTGGGGAGACGGGAATCCACAGATCTGTTCTGGAGGTCTGGGAAGCCTGTAGCTGAGGGGAGAGGGCAGGACAGAAGAGGGGCCCGAGCCCCCATCACTGACTCCCACAACTGTCTTCTCACGGGCCTCTGGTCCCCTCAATCCTCCCTGCAATGCACCCTTCACACATCAGCCAGAGTGAGCTTCTGAAGCATAAGCCAGACCACCCTGTGCGGCTTCCAGCCCTCTATGGGGTTCTGTTACACCTGAGCCGCATTCCAAATCCTCCCGTGGCCTGTGGGTGAGGCTCGAGGTCTGTGCCGGCTCCTCTCTACGCCAATGCCTCTCACAACCCACTGTGCTCCTGCCTCACGGCTCCTTTCTGCCTCTGTAACATACCAAGCTCATTCCTGTAGTGAGCCTAGGTCACGCTACATGTTCTCATCCCACCTGGAGCACCTGCCCTGGGCCTTTGCCGAGCTAACTCCACAGCATCAGGCTCTTTTGCTCTTAGAAGACTTCCTCCTGACCTTGGCTACAGCTGCCTTTGACTCCCACCCCACCCTGTCTCATCCCCTTCGCAGCACTTTGCTTAATGTTGCCTTAGTCCACTATAGTCTCTGTCTGCCCCACTCCCAATCACTAGGAGGTAAAGCCCAGCCGGTTCTAGGGCTCCCCGCCAGACCCTAGCCCCGCATGCACTTAGTGGAGACTGAGCAATGCTCTTCCCAGGAGTCAGAGATCGCAGAAAGCACCATCGCTGGACTGCGTGGGTAGCAATGTGGGAAGTTCCAGCTGGGGTTGGTGGAGGCTGCCCTGGGAAAGGATGGGTCAAGGATCACCAGGCCAGGAGCCACCCGAGCAGGCCCCGAGACTGGGGAGAGACATGACTCTACTACCGGGGCTGGCCTATGTGAGGGCCAGGCTCCTGCCCTGTGTTGCCTGGCCCTTCTGAAGATTTCTCTCTCCTAAAGAAATACCCAGAGACTCCTCTTCAGTTGAAGTCAGAGAGGCAGAAGGAGAAAGGAGGGGAGGAAGGAGAGAGTGAGGGGGAAGAGGGATAGCAGGAGGAAGGAGAGGAAGGGCAGGGGAAGAAGGAGAGGGAGAGGAGGAGGCTGAGAGGGAGGAAGGAGAGGAGGAAGAGGAGGAAGAGGAGGAAGAGGAGGAAGGAAGGAGAGGGGAAGATAAGGAGAGGAAGGAGGGCAGAAGGGAGGGAGAGATAAAAGGAGAGGGAATAGGAAGAGAGGAGAGGGAGAGAAAGGAGAGGAGAAGGAAACCTGAGGAGGAGGAAGAAGGGGAGGACAGAGCGGGAGAAGGAAAAGAAAGAAGGGGAAGGGAGAAGAAGGAGAGAGGGGAGGCCCGAGGGGAGGGGAGGGGAGGAGGAGGAGGCAGCTCAGGAGGAGGGAGGATTCTGCCTTGGCTGTGGGGCCAGGCTGCAGACCAGCCTGCCTAGGGGTATATCCACTTTCCTTGGGGTCAGGGGAGGCCCTTGGGCGACAAGAACACACACCTTATTCCCTTGGCCTCACAGAGCAAAGGGCACAGCAAGGTAGAGGTGGAGAAAGGGGTAATAAAAATTAAATTAATAATTTTTTTTAGTTGGAAGAGCAAATTATTTGAAGACGAAGCAAAAATATCTGTGACATACTGAGCACTGTTTTAATGACAGCCCGTGTGGGAGGACAGTTTAGTCATATTTTTCATTTTCTCTTCCCTGGGGAGCTGCGTTCCAGTGATCGGGCCCTGCTATCAAATTGGCATGTTCCCTCATCACTCACCTCTGGGATTATTCAGCACAGGGTGAGTCAGGGGGCTGCCGAGTAACCCCTGCTCCATCTGCTCAGGACGTTCTGCTGCCCTCTGGGAGGGGGGCGCGAGAGCCCTGAGGCTGACAGGAACAGGCCTGGGGCGCCGTGGGTGGGCGGGAAGCTCAGTGGAGAAGCTGCCAGCTCCTGCAGGGCAGGCTAAGGCTGGCTGGCGTGTCCACATCTCCTGGAACCCCTAGAGCCGAGGATATGACTAGTCCCAGAGCCAGGACCACGGCAAGCTTGGAAAAGGACTGCTTCGAAGAAAGCTTGGGCCGCTGCCAGGAGGAAGTTCAGGAAGCAGCCCTGCCACCTCTCAGCACGAGCATTTCTAGGACTAAAGGCAAAACTACTGAGGATGAGTTTAAATGACCACCAGGAGGCCAGTGCTCACCTGGGCCCCACTCTCCTCACATCGGAGCTGGGCAGCAGGTGCTGCCACCCCACGGGATGGGGACCGAGGGACGCAGAGGCTCAGAAGGTGACTGCCCCATGAACGTAGGGAAAACATGTCAGGGCAGACTTGGAACCCGGCCTGTCCATTCTGGGGGCTGCCTGGCAGCCCATGGAGCGTGGTGATCCAGGACTCGTTTCTCTTCTGAACTGGAGGCGGTGAACACACAAGACGGAGACCAGGAGGGAACCTACCCCCTACTCCTGGCTCTCTGTCTGGAAGACCTCAACTCACTGTAGCTCTTATTTTCTTTTTTAATACCATCTACTCAATACCTACTACTTATCCTCTGGAAATGAGGCGGGAGCAGGCATGGTTCTTCTTGTTTTACAGATGGAGAAACTGAGGCCCAGAAAAAAGAGGCGAGTGGATCTGGTTTTGGCAGGAACCAGAACCAGAGGATCTGGTTTTGCACAATGCCAGCTAGACCCAACAGATCTTGGCTTGAGTCCTATCTCTGTCATCCACTAGCTGCCAGTAGGTGGCACCTTATTTAACATTCGAATCTCCATTTCTTTCTTCACCTGTAAAATGGGAATAATGAGACTCATCTCAGAGGACTGCTGATAGGTTCAAATGAGCCGTGTTTAAAATTCTGTGTAAACTCTAGCCCAAGCAAGAGGGGGTGCCCGTCTCCCTCCTGGGCATCACTGTAACATATTGGCTAACAGATGGGCTCTCGGACTCTCTGAGTTTAGTACTGGCTCCTTTACTTATTAGCTGTGAAACCTCAGACAAGCTACTTCCCCGCTTTGTGCCTTAGTTTCACAGTCTGTAAAGTGGAAATCCAATGTGTACCTTCCTGGTGGGTAGTTACAGGGATTAAATGCATTAACACACATTCGGGTGAGGTGAGAGTGTTCTGGCACACGGTAAGGGCTTAGTAAGTACTGGAATTACCACCATCGCCACACCATGTCTGTAGACCAGGCTGTGAACTCCGGGTCTGTCTTGCCCATTGGTGTTTCCCAGGGCTGAGCAGACGGGCGATGCGGGGCGGGCTCTCAGTACACACAGATTAAAGACGTGATGCCCAGCAGCACCCACCTGTACTTGTTCTGCCCAATGATGCCAGGAGGCTTCCTTAAATCCTTGCTAGCATTTCACATGAATGAGATTTCCTTTTTTTAATTTTTTTTTTTTTTTGGAGAGGTTTTCGCTATAGGGCGCGTGCACTCGCCAGACAGACAGAGACAGACATAGAGACAGAAAGCGAGAAATCATCCCCCAGAGGGGATGGTCACGCCGCAATCCCTTCTCCTCCATTCTCCTCTTGGGATCTTGGGCACACACGCACATGCACCCGGTGTGAGTTCTAAGCCACCGGGTCCGGGACACGAACCGCGGTTAACTACGTGGGAGTCCAGCGACAGGCATTATGCTAACTGCTGGTTCCCTAAATTTTTTTTATATTAAGGTTTATGCCATAGGGTGCCTTTGTTTGCCAGAGAGAGACAGTGGGAGAAAAAGTGAGAAATCACCCTGGGGGTGAGGGTGCAGAAGGCTATGTCACAATCCCTTCTCTTCCGTTCTCCTGGGATTTTCGGCATGCACGCACACATGCAAATGCACCCAATGTGTTTTTATTTTATTTATTTATTTTTGGAGAGGTTTTTGCTATAGGGCGCGTGCACTCGCCAGAAAGACAGAGAGAGAGATAGAAAGCGAGAAATCACCCCCCAGGGGGGATGGTCACGCCACAATCCCTTCTCCTCCATTCTCCTCTCGGGATCTTGGGCATGCACACACACACTCCTGGCATGAGTTTAAGCCACCGGGTCTGGGACTCGGACCATGGTCAGCTACATGGGAGTTCAGTGACATAGCCATTATGTTACCCGCTGGTCCCAGCACTCAGTGGTTTTAAAGCCAGGTCCAGGACTCAAACCATGGTCGCCCTTGTAGGAGTCCAGCACCTTAACCACGATGCCACCTCCTGGCCCCAGGATTAATAAGATTTCTTGGGGTTGCCGTGACAATCCAACAGCTCTACTGTACCAAAGCTCCCAGCCCCAGGGC